TGGAATATATTTTGCGGCTGGTTTGGTGATCAGGGGGAGAAACGTGTCGTTATCCAAACAAGGAATCTTAAGAGTAACTGCATGATTGGCTTCAGTGTACGAGGTAAATCCAATTCGGACAATTTTTTTGTTGGGGTCGTCGGGGTGAGTGCATACTGATGCACCAATGAAAGAGGCGTAATGTGATGCGAAAAGGTCACATGCCTCGTTCTGTTTTTCTCGATTAGTTTTGGCTGGGAAGAAACGTTCTGCGGCGCAGTAGGCAAAGAAAATTGGAGCGTCCGTTTCTCTTTCAAGGTGAATACCACTTGCTTTGTTATTATCGTTAATAAGGCCATTTTCAGTGGCATCAAAAGCTTGGTCAACATCTATCGGGGTATTTTGGGAGGGCGAGGAGGTTTCAGGTTCCTTTCCTTTGTTGCTAAGTGGGCGAGCAGTTGTATCAAGTTCCATGTCGAAGGACGCGATATTTCCTGAAATATCTTTCGAAGACGAAGCTTCTGTTGGTTGAGGAGGCTCAATAAACTGTTTTTTAGCGGGTCGTTGTTGTTGGTCATTGTTGGGAGAAGAAGAGCGAGTCTTGGTAGACTTGTTATTGTTATTATTGTTTCCGTTTTTTTTTCCGGTCATATTGAAATTGGGAATCAGCGGAAAGAGTTTTTTTGTGACAATATATTAAATTTTAAAATAAGTTTAAAAATAAGTTTGTGATTGATTGTGTGTGATTATTGATTGTAATATTATATTACATTATATAAATAATTATTTTGCGTAATATGATAACAAAATATTTATCATGCATAAAAAATTTACAGTAAATGCGTAATTTTTTTTGTTTTCTTTTTTTACAAAAGAAAAAGTACCTAAAATTAAGTAACCTTATAGCAAAAAAAGATTGCTTAATTTCAGAATGGTATAGTAATTAGTAAAAATAAGAAGAAGAGTATGATGATATATGAGATATATAAATTTCCTCTAAAAAATAATATTAGTTTATAAATCAAAGATTTTTAATTAAATAATTATAAAAAAAATTTTAGAATTTCTTTTTTTTTACAAAAATTTTATAAGTGTATTATATATATTTATTATCCCTTCAATTATTTTACCTACAAATTTATAGGCAATTTTACTTATTAATTATAATTATTTTTAATTATTTTTAAATATTTTAATATATTAAAATTTTAAACTCATATATCTTGCTATCTATCAATTTTAAAAACATAATTACTACTATTTAATAGGATTTAATATAATGAATCCAATAAATTAAATTTTATATTTTTGTAATTATTAGATAATAAAGATAATAAATTATTTTTAAAAATTAAAAAATAAAAAATTAATGTATACTTTCTTATCAAAAGCCTTCAACTATCACAAAAATTAGCATTTTCAAAAAAAAATTAATAAATTTTAAATTGAATTTACTAAAAACTTTATTTATATTATTAAAAAAATTTATATTGCCAAAATTCTTAAATTATGAACTTTCTAAATCTGATATTAATATATTGTAAGATTTCCTTTACTTTAATTATAGCTTCAACTCTACTTAGTATGCTATTTACCAATTTTTCTAAATAAAAATTTTCAATTTTAGATCACTCTTCTATATTTATATATTGTTTGAGATCTTATTTAATTCTATTGTTTTATAATAGATTAGCAGCTTATTTTTTAATAAAAAATTAATTCTCTTATAATATAAATAAATAGTGTTCTTTAAAAATATTAAATCAAAAGCATATACTAAAAATAATATTTTTTGAACTTAACTTTCTTAAAAAAAATAGCTAATTATAATTAAATTAAAGCTATTATTTATTATTAAATGAATGAAAAATTAAATGTGTTTCAATTTGGTTGTTAAATTTTGAAAACTTTAAGAATCCATTTTTATAATTTTTTCAAATTTTATATTATTATATTAAAAATAATTAAGTATCATTACTCTTAAATTTAGCATTACAATTATAAATACATAGCTTTAAATAATAAGAATTTAATAAAAAACTTGATTTAAAAAGAATTATTTTCATCTTCTTTAACTTCTAATTATTATTTTTTAAAATTAATTAATTTATTAGAATTTAAAAAATCAAATTAAATTTAATAAAAAAATGATATCAATAAATTTTTAATATTTTATTAATATATTATTTCAAATAATTTTATTGGATAATCAAATAAGCTGATCAAAATTTTAATTTGATTATGTAAATCTGATTTGTTATATGTATTATATGTATATGATCTATATTATGTGATCATATTTATTATTTTATTATTGGTCAAAGACTCAGAAAAATTCTATTTTTATAATAAATAAATAAATCAGAATTTTTGCTGTATAATGAAATAAAATGGAATTTTTTGAATTTTTGATAAATTTTTATAATACATAACAATTAACTAATAATAATCATAAATCAGTAAAAGAAATTAATTTAAAATCTTTTGAGTAAAAAGACAATTTATATATATGATAATTGTTATAAAAATAATGGAAAAATATTTAAATTTTTGTATAATTTCTATTCTTTTTTTTCCTTCAATTTTCAGTAATAATAAAATTTCAATTTTTTTTATCCTTAAAATTTTAATCAAAATGCTACCTTTTATTATAGTTACTGTTTATTGTATATACGAAAATTTCTGAAGATTTTTTTGTGAATAATAGAAAACTTATGTGACATTTTTGTAATCATAGTATTAATTTTCAAACAAAAATACAATTACTTCTCATATAGATTTTAAAACACACCTTCGTAATAAAAAGAAAAAAATGAATAACAAATAAAAAATAACCAACTATTCAAACTATTATTGATACATCTGAAATAAAAAAACTATTATATATAATTTAGTAGATACATTTGTAAAAGCTGATATTTTGTTAGAAAAGGTAGATAAACTTCAAAGTTGGCTATATAAAGATTGTAATAAAGGAGAATTTATTTCAAAATTAGATACTTTGCGTTATGAATATTTACCAAAAATCATATTAATCAACTTAAAGAATATTTTCATAGTAAATGAGTTTCAATTATTATAGATAAAACTACAGATTTGTATAATTAGACAACTTATAATTCAAATTTTAGTTTTATAAGAAATTTCTTTTGATATACCAAAATTAATGACATCAAATTTAGCATCTTATATAAAAAAGTATTATCGCAATGTATTAAACCATTAATGCCTTAATTAATTCATTTGCTATATTTAGCACACATATTAAATCTCATTGAATTAATATATTTTATATTCATATTTATTTAAGTATATTATTAAGTATTTTTACAATTTATATGTTTTAGAAAGCATAGGTGTAAATTAATTATTTTCAAGATGTACATCAATTACTTGCAAATGTTAAACAAACTTTTGTCTATAGTAAAAGCTAAAAAATATGCTATATATTTATCTTTGACATCAGGGAGTACCTAATGCAAAAAGTATACCTCTATTTAATACAGCAAAATGAAATATCTGGTTTTGTATGACATTTTATGTATATCAAAATTTAGATTATATTCGTGGATTTTATAATGAAGAAAAAAAACAAAGAAAATTCAACACCAACAATTGAAAAAAATAAATTCCGCCTTTATAGATCAATAATCTAATGGATAAATAGAAATTTATTTAGCATTTATTCAGGATAATGCACAGTAATTTGTAGTTGATTACAACAACTCGAAGCATGAATAATAATTATAAGAAAAACATTAAATAATTTTGGACTAACTATATATACAATATTATAAAGATTAAATTTTCCTTTATCATCATTTTGTCTAGTATTTCAAAAAAACTTGATTATATATTATAACATCTTACACGTTCATTATTTAAGGCTGTTCAAGTTTTTGATTCACGATATTTATCTTTAACAACTGCTAATTGAGATATCTATTTCTATCAAATTATTAGAGAATTAGTTAATCCATCAGTATATCTTATTCAGGAATAGTCAATTTAATCTTATTGAATTTTCTGAACTAGACGAATTTTGGGATAAAGTTACATTATAACTTTTTCTTCTAGAAAAAATAGCACGTAATTATATATGGTTGCCAATCTCTTCTTATGTGGTAAAAAAGAGTTTTTCCACGTATAATAAAATTTTAGATGATGATAGGCAAAATTTAAGTCCAGAATCACTTACTATGATGTATTTTAAAAATTCACGATTTGATATCGTCTCTGTTATTGACCAACCTTTTGCTGATTGCACTTATTATAGAAATGTTCTGATCAATATTTTAAACCAATTTGAAGAAAATCTCCCTTTATCACGTCTCACTTTTTATTTTGTCGCTTGTGATAAATAAACAAATCTTCTCTTGCTACATTATTCTAAATAATAGGTTTATCTCAACTTAAAATGCTCTTGTTTCATATGTCTATTTAAATGCTGACTGTTTTTATAAGCAAAAGGTACAATAAGCATTTTGATTCTTTTAATACTGATCCTAATCATTGGACTTTGATTTATGGGCAATATCAAATGTCGCTAGCATATAGCAAAAAATAGCCCACCAAATATTTACAAATATTTAAATAGAGTTCTTCTTAATAAATCATCCACTTAAGAACATATTATGTATGCTCATTGCCTCCTGAATAATAAAAAGGTAAGTTGTTTCAAATCACATAAAATGGAAAATTGCTTTGCAAATCTCTGCCGAGTGCGTCTCATGCAAACTTGCTGAATTGGGAGATCTTCTCATAAGTGCATCTTAAGAGATTGATAGCCACATTCTACCCAATCACTTGCTACCTTTTACTGATTGCAGATTGGAAAGGGTGAGCAAGCGGAGATTCTTCACTTACTTTTTACTAATATTTTTGCTCTACGTTTCCTTGCATTCAAATCATGTTGCTAATACCTTTCCTCTTTCCTTTACATTAGCAAGAAGAATATCAAATCAATCAGAAACCTTTGGAAAAACAAAGCAGTCCTTGGCAAGGTGAATCAGGCTGTAGAAATGATTAAAGCGCATAGTATGCTTGACCAAGTTACGAATAACTGTGTTGAAAAACTTGTTGATTATAAAATAAGAGTAAGTCAATTATTAAAAGTTAATTTACTAGTATGGAATAACTCTAATTCTTATGCTGGTTTAGCCCCAATTGACAAAGATGACGAAAATCCCTTTCTAAATTATGACAGAAATTTTCTGCAGGTATTGAGATGCATCATTTCTTTTTAATTTCAGTACAATTTTAAGGCTAACAATGAGCTTACGAAAGCATTGTCTAATCAAGGATGATGTCAATAAGGAAAGTGAGATGGTAAGTATATTACAATTACAAAAGATTTAAGTAAGATTTTTAAGGCTAATGATGATATAAACAATAAAGGGAATATCAGGGAACAATTTTTCAGATTTTGGACGTCAAATGAAAAAAAGAAGAATGGAATAGCTTTCAACTCCAAATAAGCTGATTTTTACTTTTGAAATATTTGATACAATAATTCTAAAAATTATTCTAAGAATGAAATCCCTAAAAAAAGGTTGTTGCTGAAAAATTCTTGAATATAGTTAACGAAATTGAATATCACGAGAAAGAATAAAAACAATTAACTAGCTTAGAAAAGATGCTTTCAGAATGGCTACAAAAAATGTTGTCAGTATGTATTCAATAGTGAGTACGATATACAGTATCTTGCTAATCTGATATTTACATACTAGTTGTTCGATAGAAAAGAGCTATCCGAACATCTTTTACAGCTACTTCAAGACTTAACAAACTGTAAACAAAAACTACAAGATATATTTGAGATAATGTTAAAGGAATTGTGAATATCAATCCTTCTTTATTATCATTTATAATGTAATATATCTTTCTTACGTTTGACGCTGTTCTTATCTTCAGCTTTATGATGATAAAACATTGTCAAAATCATAGCCTCCCTAGGCACAATTCTGAGAGAAAATTTTTGGTAGAAAAGGTGATAATGCTATTCAAATTAGTTGAATACATATTTGTTAACGTCACAATGTACTAGTAAGCTTCTGGATTATTTCGATGTTATAATAATATAAGTACCAAATTTATATATGCTATAGGATAGAAAAGAAAATTATATCGACCGTGAAGTTTGTCGATGATCCTACTGGAGAATTAATGATCAAGAGAGCTGATGCTCTCAGGATAGACCTCATATACAATATTGATGTCATGAATATGAAGTCTTTTAGTGGTCTATTGCAACAAAATCGTAAGCATACACTTGGCGACTCAAAGAAAATAATTGATACAGGTGCAGATATTCTTTACGTCTGCTTTTGAAAGTATCTCGATGCTAGTATTGAGATAGCAATGAAACTGAAAACATATAATATGCAGATAATCGGTATGTGAATCACTTGTAAAACATATCAATAGTGTATTAATATTAAATATTTTTTCTTACAGAGGATCGTATAACACTCATTGAAATATCTCTCTATAAACCCAGGTCTTAAAGGCAGTTGAGATTTGAAGTGCTGTTTTTCCATTTGCGTTGCATTCTGTAGGAGAGTACATGAGAGTGTTTGAGCTTATATCGTATTTTGTGGTATATTTAGACAATATGTGAATCTGATTCTACCAAATTTACTAATATTTTGTGCTCGCTTAGGATGGATTGATAAAACGCCAAGAAATAATGTATAAACTATCTAGTAAAGCGAGTGGCCTAATGGAGTTAACCTCAGAAAGTTTGAAAAATTGGTGGGGTGAAGAATGAATAATACTATATATCAAACATCAGGGAATTTACTATACTTATATGCAATTTTTTAAATAAAATATGCATTACAGAGAGTGAGAAAGAAAAACATAGGTCTAATCTATTCTGCCAGATTCTAATAAATCATTTACTCATCGAAAGGTCTCCATAAAATTTTGAAAATTTTATAGTAATGTTTACTCAACAGTTTTAGTTTATCCTTGTATAATAAGAAAAAAAAACCCCTAAAATATGATTTATCCTAATAATAGATCGGCATGATTGACTGATGTAAAAAACATTTTTCATATAGTGCCGGAAGTCTATACTCAACAATAAAATTGTAACACTTAAAAATCTTTCAAAATTTTAAAAAAATAAAATTTAAA